AGAAATTCTTATAAAAAGTCCGAACAGTATGTGTCTATCTTTTAAGATTAACTCACAGGAATGAAAGTTTGCAAAAACAAAAGTTTATACCTAAAATAGCAATTTATGCGTACGAAGTCGCTGACTCAGCTAGTATTCAATAAACCGTTTCTAGCACTATGAACAGTCATTTACTTACTTATTTTAAATAAATAATTTGTAGTTTTAATTTTAGATGCGTTACAGCAGCCGTGGTCGTGGTGGGGCGTCATCCATCCGTCGTAAAAGTAAAAATACTCATTATACATACATTTCGCAATAATTTAATTGTTAATTAGTTCCTTTGGTTAAACATAAACTACAACATAGTTCGTCTTATCTTCGATGCCCTTATTCTGTGCAATAAATAACGTTCCAAGTGATGTTAATAGTAAAACAATAAATTTCGTGCCGGAACCTACGCTATTCACCCATTCTCAGATACCTAGCCATGATTTATAACATCAATATCCATAACGCTGCTTATTCGTTGAGTCCACTTAACGTAGACTATTTCGTTGGTGACACTTTTTGAAAAAATATACTGGTCTTTTGGGAAATTGCTCCAGCCTATTATATCGTCTAAGCATGATGCATTGCTGATCTATTTTGGCTTTGAACATTCCACAGTTTGAATGCGAAATGTGATTAAACTTCACAGCTTTATCGTGTGTGGACGTTGGTTCGTGACCCGGACGGAATGTCGATATTCCTACCACCCATTCAAAATCCAGATTTTCGAGTCCATGTTTTAGAAAAATCCTATATTTATAAGAAACATTTTGGACTCGGTGGAGATAGAACCCAGGACCCATTAAAGCAATGCTATTACACCAACGAACCGCTCTGCCTTCTAGAAATTATTAAGAGCAGGCAAGATTACATTGCAGGTCAAGAACGCGATATGTTAAGGTTGAAATTACACTGCGCAAGAGAGCATACCTATAAAAGGATTAACACCAATCGAAAAATGTTGATGGTATACGATAGCCTAAGTAGTAGAGCAACAATAGTAAGTTTTGTCGTGGTTTTGAGTCTAACCGATGCGATAAATATTCTTAGTAAGAGAAATTTTTAAATTTAATTATAAGTTATCGTGTTTTGAGACTATCAATAACAAGAACATACATTCCTATCTAGGTTGGTATGCCGCGGCGATAAAAGCAAGTAGGTACCTTTTTGACGTTTTAATATATACCTAATTGTAAAGAGGTGGTTTTAAAGAACTGTTTATTTATTTAAAAACCTCTCGCAGATACCAAAAATTACCACCTACCTTTTCATAAAGCCTCGTAAGTTTACAGCGAAGCTTTCAGTATAAAATACAAAGGCTTTTAAATTTTTTAGACCGTAGAAATAATGCACGGTTATACCTATTGTAAGGCACTGCACAACCTCCTTCCAATATGTCTACTTAGTTGAAAAGATTATAAGAAATAGGTTGTGGAAGCTGGAACGCAAGAACCGAAGAATAGAAATGCTTGTGACCGGTTGTCGAGTTGCAAAGCTATTAAAAAGTTTTCAGTCGACTTTATAGAAATTAATTAGAAATATTATGGAGTGAAAAATTTTAAGACCACAGCAAGTTAGGACTTACAGTTTATTACCGTCTTTTATAAAATGCAATTTTTTATTGAATAATAAATAATCTTTTGATAACATGCATTATTTTTATCGTATTAAATCATTGTTTTATTGTTGAGGCAAAACACGGTCTTGTTGACCCGAAACATCTTAATTACTAGCTCTTGCATACTCCACATGCTAAATTAAATTATTAATTTTAAATCGATACAAAACAATCCCAGGTGTTGGTACGATTTCGTTGTTATTATACTTTACACGTAAACAAAACACAATCGCACAAAAACAAAATTCTAATTAAATACTTATATTCAATTCGGTGTGATTTATACGTAGTTCTGAATGTAGAGCTTAAAATTTGCAACACAAATCGCACTGCAGTATCTAGTGCAGAGGTTTTTGTATGACGGTTTCAAGAAATTCTGATTAGCATATTATACTCGGAACTCGCTCTTATTTTAGCCTCTTTCATTATATATCTACAAATCTGTTACTAACCCCAAACATATGATATAACTAATAACTGGACACTTACGATTTAACGTTATACAAAATGTATCATTATTCAAGATTCTAGGACGCTGTGTTGAGCTTCTTGTCATTGGCACAAGTTTTATGGAGTTTTATCACGTTTCATAACAGAAAACACTTTATTTGACACAAACACTGCTTAGTTATTAATGTTTCAGAGGTAAGTTTAGGGATTTCTGGGTTATATTGTTGTATTTTGTGTGAGATGACCATTAAACGCGACAAAGATCACGTACGTCCAAAACGCGCGCATTCGGCCAACTGAATTATGTTACCCTACCCAGCCCCCGGAACGAGGGGTTTTTGCCCGGCCGGTGCACAGAGAATAGACGACGGTGAGTTTCGTTACACGTATAAGTTACTAACTCCTAGTAACATTTATTTCCTAAAGACATTATAGGTGTTTTATAATAAATGTTTTATAATAATATACTTTTTAGTATTTAGTTTTTAAGTAAATATTAATAAATTTGCTACTTCGTTGTAGCTTCACACAACAATTACTTTTGTTAAGGCCTCGAGACTTAAAAAGTCGTACATACGTGACCACGATAGAGTTAACTTTTGCATAAACCTTTATCACTTAAATAAAAATATTTAAAGTGAAACTATATTAATAAATAAATTATAATTAATTCGTGATACGTGACGTGTACGTGAATACCTTAAGGTAAACATAATATGGATATCATGTTGCGTAAAAAGAAACGCCTGTCAAAATTTTTAGTATAAACCATTATATCGCGCTCTCATTCGCACACGCATGAACAAAGTTGACGGGATCATTTGCTTCGTACTTCAGACACTGCTGTGCATACCCTTACCCTTTTCAAAGCAGGGTTCAGCCAACCAGAATCAGTAGACCCATAACATTGCTGATTGTATCCATTTTTTGTGAATAGCAAACGTACGACTTAAAGCAACGTTCGGGGTTTTCTAATATATGGTCCGCGTTACAAGCAGGAACGATTTTGGGGCAGACAAATTAAAGGGTCGAAAAAACCCCGAATGTCAGGTTTATTGACATTTCACTGGGCATTAATTAAGGCTTACGAGGGTCTCTAAAAGTTATTGACACAACGTTAAAATTTAAAACGTGGATTTACTTTTTAATTATTTCCAACTATGTATATACAATGTACTATCTTGTTAAAATTGTTGTAGCTTAACAAAATATACTATACCTATTTTATTAGAAATTAAATTAAGTTTACTGGAATTAGATTTAGCTAAAATTAATGACCCCCTTCATATTTTACTCCTAATAAAAAGCCGTCAAAAAACAAGCTACTAATTTGTTCCTAGATGTTTCTATTCTTTGTAAAACAAACATTTTTGTAAATCACCCAGTTTGTATATTAGTGACATCTGTTGCCTTTTGTGTGTGGCTGTGTGAAGTAAAAAATTGTAACTTACCTCATTTTGCATTAAGTTCATAGCGTCATATACTAGTTTGTGTATCACCCAAGAGAGGGCTGCATTATAAATTTCTAGCATTTAAAAAATTTCACCTGAAATAGGCACATGGCAAGACTGACCTCGACCCTAATGATTTTTGAAAAAGTTTTTTCTCTGCGTAGCTCAAATGGTAGAACAGCATTGACACTCTGTCGGTCAAGTGTTTGAGTCCCGTTCTAGCCATGTTCGCTTTGTAATTTAAAGTAATGTTTATATTTTTGTACTTAACTCTCTATTAGAACTATATAATACCTCGATATTGTCTCGATTTTTATGCCCGTTGCGTTGCAAATGCTTGGAAATTATTTTTATTTTAAGCATTATTTTTGTATTAGTGTATAGATGGTTCCAAGGAATTAAGTTCTGGTCGTTTTGCTCTTATTTTTATACAACGCACCTATGTTGTTACTGAAACCGCTAAAATAAAAAAGTAAGAAAATATAATGTTTTATTTTATAAAAGTATACACTCTTATTTATTAATGGTAGCTCCACTTACATAATATTAATACTTAGGTATATATCTTTTTACAAATATATTTAACACATTGATTATATTTACTAACAATACACTGTAACATTAAGTTACAATTACACTGTATGAGAATCATGATTTATGAGCAATTCGTAGAAATAATTATAAATACATTTGTTATTATGTACAGTATACATGTTGCTTTATAGAATATTGTGTTCTTATTGGAGGTAAAGCTTTGTTTTAAATAAATCAAGTCGAGATGGATAACGACAGAGAAGCTTGTGGTACACGTGATGGAAGGTTACCTATTTGGGCTTTGAACATTCCGAAATCCTAAGCTTTTTGGTGGTTCGTGACTCGGACAGGATTTAGAAAAGTCCAGATTTCCAGACATTAGGTATAAGATGTTAAAAAAAAATCTGGAAATAGTTCTCGAAGATGTTAGATGGTGGGTATTAAACCCAATAACGATTAAAAGCTAAAATTATCAGACGTACGAGTTCATCGAATTGAATACTACCTATGTAAATTTTATAAACAAATTCGACAGTATATCTCTTTGTATTTTACAAATCATGATAATCAACTTACACATTTTTAGGCTTGTGACCCTTGATAACAATTTTAAACAAGGATAATTAATCTATGGACGGATTGTATTCATAATAAGTGAGGTAGTACAATCTAATTAAATCTATATTAACAATAACATTAACCAAGTTATTACAATTTGTATACCAAGCACGTAATTGTTACGTCGAATATTATTCACAATTATTTATATTCGTAAAAATATATTATCAAAATATAATCTAAATGAACACAAAAATAGCTAGTTAGCTTTTATTGATTCAACAAAAGCTAATGATTTTAGTGTCATTCTTAATATTTACAAGGTATTTTACACTTGCACCTTCGTCATGTAACTTAGACTACTGTAGTTTCTCTTTGACTGGGATGTGTCCGTTGGCAAATCCATTTTGTTTCGGATACCTGTTATCTATTTCTCCAATAATTTCAGTTGCTTTGCCATTAGCTGATTGTAATAGGTCTTTATCGTTATCAGTCTTAGCACCTATTTCACCATTCAAATCCTGTTGTCTGACTCCGTTAGCATGACCGATGGTTTTGATGTGACCGTTCGGTACGAACCCATTCGTGTTATTGTTACACGAATCAACCCGTTGCTTTGGTTTCTCTGGTTTGTACGCGTGCATGTAGAAGTTCATGAAGAGTAGAATGAAGATGGACGAATGCAAGATCAGTCCGGATGCAATAAGTCTGAAATATATGAAGGTATCATTAGCAATTAGTTAGTTATAAATAGTTTCGTCTGCTCTTAGCTTAACTAGACTATAGACTATGTTTTAATTTATGTTAATGGAAATTACCATTTACATTTTCCTAACTTATATAGTGTTGCGTGTTTTGCTATCAAAATAAGAAGTTTGGAAAACTGAACTAGAAGTTAGACATAAAACATAACCGGACCATAATTAACATGTGAAAGTTGCGTTATCTGACCATTTTTTACGCTCTCTCTAAGTTTAAACGATAGAAGGTAAAGCCCACGATAGGGCATGAGAATTAATTATCTTTATGTTGGTACATTCATGGCTGTGTAGTAAATGCGATGTATTCAATTAGCGTAAGGCTTGAACTAGTCTTAGATGGTTATCTACTTATTAAAAATTTATTAATAAAACCAACAAAATAGTGACCCATAGCAGAAGAAGATTTCTTTTCTGTACATACTGAATAATAGATACGTAGACGACAACTAACGAGCAATAAGTGTGTTAGAAAGTAAATACGCAGTTTTTATTAGAATGTACCTATACAATTCAATTTCATTTTGCGTCGTCATTTCTCTCGACGCCTGTACAGAATTTGGAGACAAAATGAAAGTAAACATTGAGCGGAGACTCCGAACAGTTCTAGGACTTGAAGAGTAATCAAAACACTGAAAGCGAGAGAAACTGTGTACGTAATCCCTCCTAATATCTAAGAATTTGAAAAAACGTCACAAAAGCCTTTTATCGTTTAAAAAATAAATTGAAGGGAGTTATTCAGCCCTGTATTTTCAAATGATCACATATCAAGAAATTAAGTATTATTATTATTATTATTTTTTAATTATGTATTTTTTAGATGATACGTACTTCGGGTATCCACAATCGTAGACCAGGGCACTTATGGAATGGAACAAAACCATGAAGAACTGGGCCTGAAAAAAGAAATAAATTATGGATATACACTATTATATTTTAAAGGTTTTGTCTCTATTACTAATATCCAACATTTTACAGTTACTAAAATTATCGTTTCAAAGGTGCATTTTTCTTGGAGTACGTGGTCAAACGTACTCCAAGTGGTAAATCATGGTTTAAAAGTTAGAGTGCAAACTCCTTATAGTATACCATATATTTTATAGAGGAGGACAGAGAACATAAGGTTCACGTGATGGTATCCAGAAGGTAACCAGTCTTATAACATGCAAACAAAATGCACTGTCGACCTATTTTGGCTTTATAATATTCGTAAATCCACACATCGCAACCGAAACGCGATTAACTTCACGGCTTTTTTATCTGTGGGCCGTGGTTTGTGACCCGGGCGAAATGTCGGTATTCTGTTTAAAAAGATAAACTATAGAACTGAATTCGAGCACCGGGAATTGGATACTATTGAGCGAAGGCAATCATTAAAACAATTTAGTCACAACTTAAAATTATGGCCGAGTTGTACCCGATGCAGAATAGAAATAGGAGCGCTTGCGAAAGCCCAAATACCTCACCATTAACTGGCCTTAACAGAAGTGATTGGTGCAAATAAAGTCCTCTTTCACACAGCCATTACTATCAACACTACGAACGTATAAACACGCAATGCATCCTTGAGATTTCAAATCCTTGCTGATGTTGTAGAAAGTAAATCAATTTTTACTCCACAACGCGAAAGAAAAAGGAATCATTATTTAAATAAACCACTTTAACGGTTTAAAACGCGATATATTTTAGATAAACTTGTTTGAGAATTACTTTTTAACTACGGCCTGACGTTTCGGATGCTTTGCAGCAACCTTGGTTACGGGGAGACAAACAAGTTTAACTAAAATATATCATGTTTTAAGCCGTTAAGTGGTTTATTTAAATTATGAGTCCTTTTTCTTTCGCGTTGCGTGTACTACTCGCGTAAACTACAGAGTACAGACAGTATTTAGGAATCATAACAATTTTGTTAAAAAGGCGCCATATTGGATTTTTATTACACAAAATGCATCTGATTAAGGTGTGCGTTCGACGAATCCCGTAGTTGAATCAAATCAGTCTGTGCATTTTCGATCCTTTGAAACCAGAGACAAAACGCCGATTTAGTCTTTCATCTATGGATATTGGTTCGTGACCTAGAATAAATTTTCGATATTTCTTCAATTTTTGTATGTATGTATTACAATATAGATCTTATAATACCTATGATTTTGACTTTGCTGTTTTTAGAAAAAAAGTATTAAGGCATGTATCGTCTGATGCTAAGTAGACTTCAACTATCTCGTAATAAGTAACTGTGACGATCATTTTATACCGTAACAGTTGATAGTTGCGCTTCTGCGCTTTCTCGTCTTACACTTTCGATTATACTTTGGTCAAACTGCGTCTATACATTCTGAGATACAAACCTTCATAACGACAATATATTCTTCAGTTAAGATTTACATAGTCAACTTCTATATAGAGTCAATGTTGATAATATATAATTGATATAAGATATCAAAAAGTTTGCTTAAAGTGGAGAAACATATAAGTGTGAAATAAATAGTATTCTTTCTTCATCCCCTATTATATACCTACATTAGTAGCTATTCATACAACATGCAAATTATATTCTACTTTTCATAAATCTGTGTTAACAAAATTTACGTTATCCGACATAGATAGAAATAAGATCGTAATCGTAACCTCTTTCTAAGAGTGGAGTACAAAAAAATGTTTGTCTTAAATGATGGGTCCGAGTTTTGTGACGTGGTTTGCAAATAAAATAATTAATATTCTTATTTTAAAACCGTTAAGTTTTCAAATTTCTCTTCTAGAAAATATATTAATTAAAAGCGAAAAAACCTCCTAAGGAAATGAACGGTTCGAAATATTAAAAATAGAGTACTACTTAAATACTGTCTATGGTTTATGCGAGTTCGCAGCAGCCGTGGTCATGGGGAGAGGCAAAGTATCCGTCGGAAACGTCGGCCGAACTTAAAAATCATTTTAAAATAAGTTTGACTAATATATCGCGTTTTAAAACGTTAAAGCGTTTTACTTAAAAGAGTACTACTTATGAAATAGTATAACTCTCGCGCCGTAATTATTAATTGTTATATGATAAGTAACATACTGAAAATTAGGACTTAGCAAGTAATGTTGAGCACAAACTGAGTCTAATGTTTTTTAGCCCAAAGTTAACATTTTTCCTTTAGTCTTTTCATTCATCCCAATGTACTTTTTATATATAACTTATGTACACGTCTTCATGTTAGGTAACAAATTATTTTGAAAACTTTAATATTTTCCACATGTTATTGCACATGAAGGCACTATATAATTTAACAATCGAAAATAAATTGAAAAAAATTTCCACTCGGGCAGAACTTGAACCGGCATCGTCAGCGTTCCCACCAGACTTCGTCAGAGAAACAGCACGGAACGCTGACTATGCTGACGAAAATTGTTTCAATTTATTTTCGATCTTTAAATAAAAAAATATTTATTTCAATTCTATAGCAGGTTTTATACTAGCCGATTCATAGTACCAAGATTTGTTTATGAACGCGGTATGCCAGAAGGTCCTCTACCTCGTCGATAGAGAAAGGATATAGCGTTCCGGTGAGCCTTATGTTGAAATAGTATTGCGCGTTTAGTTACTTTATACTGGTCTTATTTAGTTTCATTTCCAGCTAAACATTGCGAGAGGTCAACGACCTCTTACCTTTTAGCAATTATACATCTAGGTACACTAATATTATAAAAATGAAGAATTCGTTTTGTGTTGGTGTGTCCAGCTATAGGCTATAAAACATTATGCTGCAACCAATAAGAGCGAAGAAACATTGGGAAATGGGAAAAAAACGGGGAAAACTATAACTAAAAAATGTCCGCGATGTTATTTGTCTATATTTTAAGATAAACTAACGAGGACCATTTTTACATTAGGAAAAAGGTTACATACTACGTAAAGTGCAAAATGAAGGCATGAGCCCCATTTATTTGGCAATGACATTGACTGAGCAGAAATATGCCAACAATAATTTTGATTTTAAAAATCTAATCACATTTAAAGAAAACACTTTAACAAGGAGAGCCTGGCCACGGCTGCTGCAAAGCATCCTAAATGTAGGACCGTAGTTAAAATAATTTTCAAATAAGTTTAACTAATATATATGGCGTTTTTAACCGTTGAAGTGTTTTTAAGTGTGTATTCGCGTAAACTACAGACAGTGTTTAATCTAAAGACAGTTACCGAACCTTAATATTAACATTATTATATAAGAAACTTACTGTTAAAATATACCTCCGTTACATCTGAACAAAATATAGGTAGAGATCATTAATGATGTGAAAGGTCGTGTCAATTAAGAACTCTTAAAAAATGAAGTTATTAACAGGAAAGTGCGTAAAGTTCACATTAGTAGAATTTTTTTACAAAAGCCCGCTTTCCATTAAAAAAAAAACATATAGATAAAATAAAAAGAGATTATAACAGAGAAAACTAAATTGGTTCAAACTATTTGGTAATTGGTATTATAATTAGGTGTATTAATTATATATACACATTGACATAAAACATTTAACGGTTTAAAATGTGAAATAAATTAGTCAATTAATATTCGGACGTTTCAGATGCTTTGTTGCACCCGTAATGTGTGCTACATGAGTAAATAAAAAAAAACTTCACTTAATAAAAGGTCCTTATTGCTAGCTTAATTATATATTATAAAAAGATAATATCAGATCTGTTTGAGTCTAAGATGTATGAGAAAATTCATTTCTAATTTAATTTCGTATAATATTAATGAATGTTCTTTCGTCCATTAAGTTACTTAAAGAATTCAACTCTAAATAGGTTATTATTGTGTCAACTATGCGAAATACACGATAAGAAATATGTACGATTTCCCATTGTTCAGCTTAGTGCTAAATATTGTCTTTCTCTATAGAACAGCAGAGAATTTATTGCAGCAAAGACAATATGATTGCTTAGTATTTTTTGTTTCAGTCGAATATTTCATTTCAAAGACATGGATGGAAGAACCATTTATAAACACTTAAAGTAAACATAGTTTATTTAATTGACGTTTTAAAAATACATAAAGCAAAAAAAACATGACATAGTCCAATACTGTCTTTAGTTTACGCGAGTAGTACTCATTTAAATAAAACACTTTAACGGTTTAAAACGCGATATTTTAGTTAAACTTATTTGAAAATGATTTTTAACTTCGGCCCGACGTTTCAGTCTCCCCGTGACCACGGCTGCTGTAAAGCATCCGAAACGTCGGGCCGAAGATAAAAATCATTTTTCAAATCAGTTTAACTAATATATCGCGTTTTAAACCGTTAAAGTGTTTTATTTCAATGACATAGTGCATGAAAAAAAGAAGCAATGACCCCAAATATTGAGACAAGGCAGGGAAGAAAAATCCTTACACGTTACCTGCGGTACATCTGATAACAAAACACCGAAGACTGGTATATGTATGTGGTGACAAAAAGTATTTTTGTGTGTTTATTTGGTAATAATGTATTCTGTGTTCTTTAGGGGTGCCTATAGAATAGCTACAGTGATACCAAAAGTTATTAAAATTGGTTTATCCGTTTGAGTGTAATAAGTTTGTGAATTAAATATTCTTTCGAAATAATTAGTCAATGAATCATACGCACAAGATATTTCTATCCTCGTAATGATTAATATTAATTGCATTACCGTTGCAATTATCAGCACGAATTTTCATTAATTCATAACCGAACGAATCGCAAGGTTCATATTAGGTAATAAATGCGTCCGCGCAGAAGTTTTTATGCTCGCCAATCACGCAATTCCTGTTAAAGACCTAGATCATATTGTAATTGAATTAGGCCACTATTTAATCAAGATTTTTTTAAAGAGATGTAAGAACAGATAAAGAGTTTGAATGTACAACTAATTTAATTAACTAATCAAACAAGTGACAACGTCAAAAATTGCAAACATCCGAGTGTTTTGTCCGCTAAAATGTTTCGTTGTGAACTTTGGCCTTAAATTGTTAAAGAACGATTATTTAACAAAATTAGGTCAACAGCAAAACTCGTACGTTTCCTTTACTGGAAGTAATTATAAATAACCTATCAGACCGACCGTTCGTAAATCCTAACAGTTTGCGCAAGCGCAGATCCCGTCTCTCGGAATTCTAGGTGTGGTACCAGAGACCCTTATTCGTATGAATTTGCTCAACGGATGTAATGTGCTTTCCTAATAACAGCATTCTATACTGAGACGTATTAGTTTTTTAGTTAGTTTATTTAAACGGAACTATTTCCAAAACACACGATAGGAAAAGTCTACTAAGTCACGACAAAATTTACATGACAAATATAGTATTTTCGTGGAACATATTAATAGTAGGGACAATATCATCGACAGCCCCCACTCTATATACATTAATACATATAAATCACTTTTCATAATTGTATATGAAATAAGTATAAATAAATAAGTTGTATCTTATTTTCTCTAACACAGAGTAATTGGTTGAAAAGAGAGATCCTTTGCCATTGATATCTCACTAGAATATTGTGAAGAAGTCTAGAATACCGGCGTGGGAATTAGGTAGCTAGGTATAGCTTGAAGCAGCTTTAGTTGAGTTCTTTATAGATTTTTTTTTACGATTCAATAATCTTACCAGTTGCATCGTTGTTAGGTGCTTCTTCCACCACAAGTATTTCTGGTATTGGGGCCCCATTGCAGCCAGCATATAGTACCCGTACATTATCACATGAACAAGATTGTTTACGATATTGGAGAACGTCCCGTGGCCACCTTTAAAGTTAAAAAATAATATTATTTGTACTTTGGGAAGAAAAGGGTTGCCCCTAAAACATTTAGGTTTTCTGTATTATAGCAATATATTGACAAAAAAAGGTGCATTTACTTCATGTTTATTTAAATATATAAAGCACTCTTTAAATAAAATACTCTATGACTATTATTATATACATTTATACCTTTTTCGTTTAACAATATTAATAATAAAGAAATATATATGGGTTAAAATTTTTTTAAGTCAAACTTACCAGCAATAAATTTAACCAACATCCACGCTTCGAAAGGAGTTAAAGAGTGGTGGTAGAGATGTAACCAGGTTATTTGACTCTTTTTTTTCCGCAAAACGAAGAAAGCGGTGTCTGCGAATTCTGATAGCTTTGAGAAATAGTAAACCCAACACAAGTGAAGCATCTGGAACAAAACATAGTATATGTTATATGTTGTTGGATAAAATGTTAAAGTATAGGTTATTTTTTCTAACGAAACGAAGGAATAAAGTTTAGTAAAAATGTATGTTAGTATTTTTACACTGTTTTATTATAAAATAACGGGTGTTTTATTATATAATAACATGCTTATAATGATGAACTTTTATAAAACACTTTATAGCTGTGGTCACGGGGAGTGAGAGACGGTCTCCCAATGACAACGGCTGGTACAAAGCATCCGAAACTGTCAGGCCGAAGTTAAAAATCATTCCCAAATAATTTTAACTAATATAACGCGTTTTAAACCGTTAAAGCGTTTTATTTAATTTTGAGTTTTAAACCGTTCAAGTGTTTTATTTAGTTAACTACAGACAGTTATTATGAGAGGTCTATAACCATTTAAAATGTTGTTACTAAGAGGTTGGATAGCCTAAACGCCAGAATAGCTAAAATTATTATATCGTAACACTAAGGACCGTGATCAAACCAAGGTCCCCATTTTCACTCTCAACCTGCCGATGACGCAAACAAATTACTCTTAACCGGTGACTTTCACTCTTACGTTACAAGTTCATTGTAAAACCAACTCAAAGGTTGGGGTCGGTGAAATTCTCCGCAAACTTGCCGAATGTATAAAGTCATTATTGTACACGTTTGTTGGAGATTGACAAATTCCATTTTTGAATGTTTTTGAGGCGCTTTTACGATGTGTCAACGGAGATTGCTAATTTAATGCCGATGATGAAATCGCGTGCCTCTTGAATATTTTCTTCTGTGCTTCGTTTTATTTCATCATCGTCATCATCATCAATGGTTCACTATTACATTTGATCTTGGTCTTGTTTCCAGCCTTCGACTCCCAATATTTTAGATTCTTAGTAACTCTTGTTTTATATAGACATATAAAACAAGAGTTACTAAGAACGCGTCTATGATTAAAACTGCCTTTGTTAGACAACAAAAGCAGTTTTAATCGTAGACGCACAATAAAGTAACCGTCCTTTCGTTGCTTAAGACGTCATTTAATAGGTTCTTTATAAGTTTTTTTTTATAATATAATATATTATGAAAAAAAACTTACTTACTATGATATAATCAAGCAAATATAAGCAAACTGGAGTATTCATACTCGAGTAAGAAAAAAAAAAGAATTACTGTATTCTTACAACACAACAACGTACAGTATAGGATATGTGGTGTATTGAAAATTCTTATCTAAGGAATTTTAATCTGTGGTTCTATTGTAGTATATATACTTCTTCTTTCAAACTGAATATTTATATAACTACATATTTGTATACCTGTATTCTTCAGGTATACTCAATGTTTGCCAAAAGTCAATTTAATTCACCTGTTCATCTCTACGGCATTTTTGTTAAGAAAAATTCACGGCATTGAAGTCATAAAAGTTTATTGTTCTCCTTAATCGTAGAAAGTACGTTTAAGATATTTTATGACGTGCTAAAACGTATAACAATAAACGCAATGTCAATTAAATTACCATTATATTTTATTTTAACACCTTTCAGTGCGTGGATATGCAAATTCTTAAAATACGTACGGAAATTAATGTATTCTATATCTATCCGTTGGTTAAATGAATTGTCCAAGAGAAAACGTTCGCAGTTAAAAATGGAAAGTATTTTTTATTGATAAATTTTTACTACAACAATCGTATATTTAACCAGACTAACGAAACGTATTTAAGCCCTGCTTGTAGTTTACGTAAGTAGTTTAAATCAACTCTAATGGTTTAAAACACACAAAACACCTGAAAGTCGATCGTAGTTAAAAAAAGCTAAACTAACTATTTATAAGAGTACTTTACATAAATACTAGTCAAGCTGAAAGGTTTTCTCTAAACTTTCAAACAAACTTATTATGACCTTCAAGTTAATTGGACACAACGCATAGCCAAAATCTTACCGTTTTCTCTCTTAATGTGATTGTAGAAAAATAAACAAATCGTTGGAAAGTATGTATAGCCACTGCCATTCAATGAACTTGACCGATCGCGGATTACCACAGCCATACAAACTCTAGACGCGCCTACTTCCGGTACAGTCTGGCATATTTTGATTTTATTACCTACATACAACTGCGATGGAGTGAATAATATGATATACTTAATTTAATCATGAGCCCAAACTAAAGTCACATTTTATGTGATCATGTACTATTCTCGTTTAATACTACATAACATATACATATACATGTTATGTATTTATTTAGGTGTAACTAGATCAGTTTTAGTAGCGTATTACTAATATGTTATAACCATAATCATTATCAATTTTAGGGATAAGCTAGACCAAACAAAAACAAAACAAATAATGTCTGCAATATAGTGCCCACAAATATCTGTCTGGCAAGTAGTTGATCAGGCTTCTGTGCCCTGGCCGACCTACGGACCCGGGACCTCTCGCACGTAACGTAATGCTAGGTAACCAAGTTATAGAAGTGGCTTCTTTGATATAGGAAAGAATATTTAAGAAAATTTAAGAACGTAGGCGCAACATTAGTTATGATATCAAGCTTTTGGTAACAGCCAAAACATTTTCTTCAAATCTCTCTTAATACCGAAGTAACTTTTTGTTGGAGCAGGGATTTGAACCCGTGGCCTCGACCTCGAGCCATTGACGGTTCAATGTCAATTATTGATTCTTGACACGTCACACTCATACACGTATGTCTAATCTATTGACTCGTAGATCTGAGATAATCGCGGTCAGCACCAACCGGTATCGCCTCATCTCGCTTTCTACCTGACAGCCGCTATTGCACTGTCAGTCAAGTTCTCGTTAAGCATGTCACAGGTATTGAAATCATCTGAGAACCAATACTATGGACATGTTCGCGCTGCCATAAGAACTCTTACACATACAGAGAAAAAGAACAAGCGCATGATACCTTAAAAAATTATAAATATATTCTTTAGATTTAAACATTTTAATGATACAAGTTTGACTCGAACCAAACATCACCAACTATTGAGAGGGAAGTTTAATGATTTAATGAATGATGACACATAGCTCAATGGAGCAATGGATGCTAGGAACGCTGGGTCATCGAATACGTCAATACAAAATTGATTTCTATTTTATATACAAAGTTAAATATCATTTGTCTAGCGTTAGATAGTTTTCGTGCATTGAAGCACGGTGTTCTTGATGGTGGGTTTGGCCCCAGTCCTTTACGTCTAATTTAAATATGCTCCTGTCCTATTTTATTTATTTACGCTCTAACGATAAAACTCATGATATTATAAATAGTTCTACGAACAAAATGTAATGTAATGAAAAATTTTACAAAGAGTGAGACTATAATATAATATAGAGAGAAAGACTATATTCTACAAAACTTTTGAAAAATAAATTACGAAGATATACAATAATGTTACTAACGATACGCAGTTAAGGTTAAAATACAGAGCTTAAATTAAACTGAGAGGGCTGGGTGAGTCCAGGTGTAAATCAAATAGGTCACTAAGCTAATTGATAACTTGACCACATTTGGATAATGGTAATTAGACCGAAATCAGTTCTTTATAAGGGGAGTGCAACGCGGGGTTATGGTTTTCCGAGGATATTTGATTGGGACATGGAATTGTAGTTTTTGATGTAGGATATATATTGTTGTATAAAAATTAATTATTATTAACTTACTCGTCTCGCCTTATCACTGTTACTGTAGTCCACTGGCTGGCAAGAAATACTGTAGTCCGCCCACCATCCGGACATCAAGTGCTGAAAAACAAATAATATTTAACTTTGTTTGTTATTGTATTTATTCTATTACACATTTTATTTTACATTATTTAAGACTTATTTTGGGCACCATGCAGCGGAGTTGGTAAGTGTTGCTACAAGGAAAATATTTATTTTTAATTTTGTGTGGTCTCGAAATAAATAGATTATCTGCAATTATTCTATTTAAATGTCCAAATTATGTAACTGCTTCACCTTGATAAAACGGATTCTGCGTAACATCCCACAGGGCAACCAGAACGCCAGTATGACGAAAATAATACGATTCATTGAACATGACGCTACGATGCCTCTATTTAGATCTAGAGCCTTTTAAATTATGCATATCGTTTTAAATCTTGTATTTTATTATTAGTATGTCGTTTCCTAAATAGTAGTAGGGGTAAAGGTAATAATAGATTGTTATTAAGTTTCCCCGAAAATCGAACTCAGGATCTTTTATACTTTACGCGATAAACAAATGAGCCATGAACGCGGTAAATGGATATAAATAAATTCCAATGCGATAAGGAAGTACGTAAAATTAGAACCAAACCAAATAACAATAGGAAATGTGTTGTAAACAATAATTTGGGCTGTTATTAAATTACTAGGTATTTGAATTGTCATATTTATGGATTTCCAGTTACGGACGCATGCCTAGAAAAATTGTCACTAATGACGAACCTTGACATAACTGCATGATCTCTGACGAAATTGTAAGACGTCATTGTCATTACAATTATTTTAGCGTCGTTATAACGCCAGACTTTAATCTTGTTAATAAAAGTAAATATAGTTGGGTATAAGACATCTCAAGAAGATGGGGTGTCGACCCATTTTTAAATATATTCGAATATCTACAGATTGAAACCAAAACGCGATACACTTCACCTTTTCACTCATTTAATATCCAGATGATGTCCAATATGTAGCAGAAAAAATATAAATTTTTTTAAAACGTCTTGGACTCGGTGGGGATCGAACCCGAGAGCCGTCCGTTCAATATAAGCCCGTTGAGTTAACACTTTGCTTTTTGTGAAAAAATTAAACATACAAACGTATTTGATACACGCTGCAGTTAGGGAAAACTGGGTTTCACAAAAACAATATCGGTCATGCTACTTAATAACGTTGTCAACATCAGATAAACAGCTACACTTACAATACACGTATAATTAAAAAAACGTAACATTTACTATCAGCAGATTGAACTAAAAAAACTAATCCTCTAAACCCTTACCTCGTAAAACATATAACTCGATAGAAGGACTTGAGCGGCATTGTATGAAACCAGAACTCCTTTGATTTTGAAAGGTTTCCTGTTCGCCATCCACATGGGACCGACTACCAGAACGAATCCGAGGTATATAAGCACCATTATGAGGGTTGGTATCGGTGTGTCGAAGAGAAACCATCCTTGCACTCGCGGATCTGTTACAGACAGACAAAAGTATTACTATATAATTCAAATATATATATAGGTTACCTAATAAAATAACAAATGTATAGTAAAATACTGTCTATTTTTTACGCGATATATTAGTACTACATCGTGTTACTAATATATCGTTTTAAACCGTTGTGTTTAAAGTGTTTTATTTACTCGCGTACACTATAGACAGTGTTAAATTAACCAGTACGGGCTGGAAAATGCTTTCAAATAAGTTCAACTAATATATCGCGTTTTAAACGGTTAAAGTATTTTATTTAAAAATGTATATTTCTCCAAATTTAATAAATAACCCAATTAAATCAACCTTTTCTCATTATTCTTATGAATTGAAGTCTCATGGAAAGAAATAAAATACTAGTAAGATTTTTTATAACAGTGAAGGATAGCCCACAATTTATATAAGAATATATTAACCACATATACATAGTGAATATGAATTATCATAAGGAAATAAAGACAAAATAGTTAGAAAATGAATTCTAGTTTTGGTCTCTCTCGACTCTGTAGCTTTTCAGCCGCTAGTTAAAAATCACAAATTCAAAAACTCCAAATACCGTACTAATGTTGATAGAAGTGTCTTCTAGAATAACAATGTAACTGATATGTCATAAAGTTTGTTATTTTGACGATTGATAGTATAGTAGCATTAAAAAATAATTTAATATTTAATTTGGTATTAACATGAGCTTTGACAAAGCTATGTTGGTCTGTGTGTCATCTATAAAATTTGTCATTGACAACAAATTCTTTCCTAAATCGTAATTTTATTGCGCAAGCGCATTTTTATCTTCGCGTAATAACTTTTGTGTGTCGAAATATCCGTATTGTAATAATTAGAGTTATGCAAACCGGAAAGATCCATCTGCTTTAAAAAATTCCGGTGAAAGTTTTTACAGCATCAAAAATGTTAAGAACACACCAACATAACAATATGTAACACATGTTAAAACAAATGTATTGTTTAGTTTGGTATTAAGTACATGTACAATTAATCATTCTTTTAATACTAAATCAAATTAAATAGAAATAATGCAACTTTTTATAATACGATGAATAATTCTTGTCTTAATTGATGTAAACTATTATACTAACTTTAATGAACTTCGTTTTTTATGAATTCATTGTAAATTTTTTATCTATTAACTTAATTAATATATAATAAGTTTGGTATTAGAATGGCTGCAGAAATTGTATGTTATTGTTTTTTTTAATATTTTATAATCTTACTTACTATTAAACAAAAGTACGTACATGAAATTTTTGGTACAGGGTTTATGTTTTTAAAATGAGATTTAAATCAATGGGAAAAGCTAAAGGTCGTAATGGTATATTCTAATGAGGATTTTAGGCTTTCTCTACGTTTAAGAGTCAACAACCATCCGCTTCAGTTATTTATCTAGTGCCTAGTACAATCAATTTCCTGACACTTTCGTTATTTGCCCATAGGAGTGAAAGTGACACACAGACTCATAGCAGGTTCCGTCAGTCGTAACAGATTATATTTTCATTGAATTATTCATTCATCCGATGAAGGTTCGTATTGATTTTTCCATAATCTATATTATAACATTATGTTATTCGTGGTCACGAAATTTGAAAGGTTTTCCTTGTGAAAATGAAATATTTTCCATTTTCAAATTAAAACTCTTAAATTTGGAATGATGACTAATTCTATTTTCGTAATCATTATACATTATTATTTTTTTAAATTTCATGTTGCCTATAAACTAATACAGAAGTAAGTGATTCGTTGTTATACAAAAAATATGCCCTTTTTTATTACAAAATACCTACCTACATTGTCTCCTACTAATTAATTCAATGTAAACGTAGTCCTCTTCCTATTTAGCTAACAAATTTGTTTAATCTCCTATTAGAAAATATGATTTAATAAAGGACGTATGACAAAGTTTTATATATTTGAACGTGACGTCTTTTTAAATTTACAATTGAAATATGTTTTTTGTTTGCTATTTATTTTAACCCAGTTAAGATAAAGAGCATATAAGGAAATTTCCTTATACATCTAGATGTCTATATACACATCCTGCCCTAAATTATCTCTCAAGGTCTTGAAAAACATACAATTCTTAGTAAATTAACTTCAGAGATGAAGCTCAGGGCATTGTTTTGTGACCTTAGCCGTTGTACCTAGAACCACAAGCAGTTTTCGTTGCGAAATATTAAACGTAGTAGTGCTTGTCATCTGTGCTCTTTTAAGATGCCTAATATAGTTTTTTTAACTATAATTTTTTAAATAACAATTATTACTGTTAATATCAAAACGTATTTTTAAACAGCTAGTAAAAATGTAAATACGTTTTGATAATCAGCAACTGATTCAAAAGCTTCAAGTTTAATATTAAATCATTTTATTCAATAGTTAAAAATAAACTAAAGTTTCTTAGCTGACTTAATCAAAAGATGTATATTGGCTTATAAAATAAAAAAGAATAAAAAAAATATTTTATAAATTTATATCGTTTTATATAAATAGGTATATTAAATGGCAAATATTGTACTAAGAGATTTCTTTTTTAATGGAAATAATATTAATAACCGTAATATTTTTTAAATTGGTTTTATTAGTTGGCGTCTCGCTATACATAAATATATCGTATTATCAATAGTTTAAGTTTTGACTAATCTTTAAATAAAATACCTTAACGGTTTAAACTTTAATGGTTTGGAGCTGTTGAAAAGCGTCAAAACATCGGGCTGAAGTAAAAATAATTTACAATCAAGTTTAACTAAAATAAATCGCGTTTTAAACCGTTAAGGTGTTTTATTTAAATGTATACTACTCGCGTACACTACGGGTATTATTTTTAGGCTAATTCTAAATAAGTGTCAATGTTCCAGTTGAAGTATTGTAATATGAAGTAGTAAGAAGTATAGTAAGTATTGTAATAGAAAATGTGGTCGTAAATACCTGAAACTCTTTCTGCTAGCAGCCAGTATTTATTGATGATCGTGGTCCAATTGCTGTCGGAGTAGATGTCGTCTATCGCAATTTTTACAAAACCAGTCATTTTGATAAATATCTAACACTTAACCCGTTAATTGTCCTATTTCACTAACACTCACTACACTGCACTGTCGACTTTTTCGCTGGGCAATCGATTTAAAATCACGATAACAATTTGCTTTGCAAAATGTCACCTGCAACATAAGAACAATTTATAACTCATACAATAAGACTGATATTAAGGAAATATAAATTACGTACAATTTATACATTATTTTCTCATTTAGCATACAGTTAGATTATGGAAACCAGTTGTTCGTACGGATCATGATTACTATAATATAAAAATTTATTATAAGCTGTACATCACAGTGCAACAAAAGCGAAAGCCCGTGGAAAGTGCTCTCGCGCCGCTTCTCAACCGACAATTGAATCGCGCGCCATTACGCGACCAATCGTGAACGCTACACCCCCCCAGTATCACAAGGACGTAAGTACCAATTGCGTCATTGCAAATTGTACTTTGTTCTGTTTGTAAAAAAATACATTTCAGCGACATAAACGTAGGATAGAGTAAAATCTAGCCTTATTTCGGTTTCTCAGTGTTACCAGAGGCAATAAGAGTGAATTTTGTAATGAAGCTCTAATTTGTGCAAATAGTAATTAATATTATTAAATTGCGTTTCGAAAAGATGCGATTAATTAGTTAGAAGATATACTGCAGGAGTGAAACTTTAGTTGTAATTAATTACTATAATTACAGAGAGAGGGATATTGCAGAAATAAACCTAGTAATACTGTCTATAAAATCATTAACTATATATATACCCCCTTTTTTCCTTCTTTCTTCTTTTTATTTATTTTTTACGGGAAGATGGTTAGTGTAGAAAATGCCTGCGCATAACCATTTATAATGTATCTTCGAGATTCAAATTTAGGACGCAGGTAATGTCTTTTTACTATTAAGCCATACAGAAGCCATTAATCATGGCAAATAAAAAGAGTTGGTAAGTTGGCAATTGGTACACAACAGATTGCCTTACAGACTTTCAGTAACCTTCATGGCTCTCTGATTTTCACGTGTTGAGTAATCTTTGCATCTTAAAAAAGATATTTACGGATAATGTGAAACTATCTACAGTTTTCTCATAGAGTTTTCTCTCGTGTTCTTATAATTGTAGTAACTTATTAAAAACCAATTGCTAACATAGTTATTTTTGTTTGTTATATTTAAAAACTTTTGTCATTGCTACCCTTAACAGGAATTGATTATAAATATTTTTTGATATTAGCATTTTTGTTCTAAAATAAAATTGAAAGACTAAACTAAGTCCGCGTGGAATACTTATTTTGGACATCATATTTATCCTTAAAAAATACTCTTATACTGTAGCTGAAATTATTTTAGATAATTTAGAAAATTCTATCATATATATTATTTATATACAAACTCTTAAGCTATACAATATTAGTCGAGATTTCTAGTTATCTATCTTATAAAATAATCAAAACTGTCTACACAAAATTTGTTTTATACAAATAATATATATGTGTTTGTATCTAGATGTATATTGAATTATTAGATACTTAAACCTACACATTATTAATAATGATGATAAGTGATTCCTACAACTATTAATAGTGTCTTCATTACATTTATTATTATTGCATTAATATTGAAGGTTGCAATCAGTAAAGGAATTTAGACAAAAACACAATGACGGAGGAGAACATATGGTCATGGAGTTCATTAGATGATCGGTGAATTATATTCATCTTATTAAGAGAGTTGTGTCTTATAAGATGTGTTGTTGACCTATTTCGTGTTGCACATTCCGAATTCCCCAATTTTCTGTTCGAACATGTATATATATTTACTGTTATTAATTATTATATATTTGTATAGTGGTTTTTGGTATTTCTTTTGCTTATTGGTATTTTTTATTGCTTAATTACTTAAATTTAATTAAGTCACAAGTGCCAAAATTAAATGACTAGGCGTTTATTTTGCAACTACAAAATGCATTTTATTTTTCAAAGTAACTACTGTCTGTTTATAAAAAACATGTTTTAGTGACTCTGTCTGTTGTTTTTCTTATAAAAATAAAAATACAAAAAAGTGAAAGAAAAATACCAAAATGGTCAAAATCTAAAGAATTTGTGTAAAATTTCTTGCTTTTTTACGCCTGTCAAAATAACATAAGCGAATGAGCACAAACATGAACATGAACATCGTGAAACTTAGATTCCGGAATTAAAAGAGTACTTTAAACGCAAAAATTAAAGAAAATAACTTTTCTTGTTAAATATGTAGTGGTACAGATATAACGACAAATCTTTTTAATATAAACTCTTTCGTGTATTAGTTAATTTGAGTCATTACACTAGCCTTATAAATAAATTGCTAAAAATAAACGTCCGTTCAATTTCCACCAAGTCCAGGTATCGCCAGGAAAATCTGAATATCCTAGACGAATAAGCCGCGAAATGAGAATTCGCGTTTCACTTTCAGTCTTTGTATTTCCGCATATCTAGTCAAAATAGGTCTATAGAGCATCTTAACGAACCATATGTTTCTCCTGTCTATTATGAATAAAATAAAGGAGTTATAAATTATAAGATTTTCATATTAAAACATCTGGTTGATGGTTTGTTCTTATATCTAAATCAAGACGAAGAAGAAGACGCAACTTAATTGATAAACAAACGAATCTACGAAGTAAGACTAGGTTTAAGTGTCGATTAAGATTCTGCACTCATGTGAAACATAAAAGGCATAAATCTCAACGCGATACCGTCAGCATATACATCTTAGTTGTAACATTTGTTGTGTAATATCATTAAATAGGATTTACTTAACGCTGTTTGAAAATTATTGTTTCAATTTAAAGAATGAAGTTTCTTGCATTTAATATAACAAGCATTAGAAAACTAATATCTATACAAATATATAAAACTGATGAGTTTGTTTGTCCCAAATAGCTAATCTCAGGAACTCTGATTCAAATTGAAAAATTATTTTTGTTTTGTTTAGAGCATTTATCGAGGAAGGCTTTTAAATCTCGCGATGTGACTAATATGAGAGAAGAGACAGCGGTAAATGTGAAAAATACGGGGAAAATAAATCTTTGCGTGCTTCTATTGCGCGCGCTGTGTAAACGAAAACAAATAAAAAATTAAATGATTCCGATTCTGAACTGTCCGCGACAGTATATATCTTTAAGATTAACTCGCATGAACGACGACGCGACGCGGACGACGTCGTGGGTAACAGCTATACTTTATAAAGATGACGACGTCGTTTGCAAAAGTAAAGCATCAGTTTAAAATAACAAAACCTCGCGGAAGAAGTCGCGGGCACAGCTAATACAATATATGAGGCAGATGTGTGTTCGTTTTACACAGGACCTCCCGGGATTTGAACATAGAACCACGGGATTTAAACGAAATGCACGGCAGGCGTTTAAAAATCATTTAAAATGTCAATGACACACTCAATAAAATAAACTTTCGTAATGTGTAATATTGTGAAATATATTTTTCATAATTTTGCATTTTAATTCTAATTTTGACACACGACTTCCGTAGTTCAATGGTTAAATGTGCACGAAACTTTTGGTTCGAATCTTGGGAAAAAATCGACTTACTCGGTCGGGCAAGTCTCAATAACACACGGCGCACTTGTATGTAAATCATTACTAAGAACCACCGTCTATGCCTAGTTGTGATTTTCAAGTCCTTGAAGTGTTAGCAATATCCTGTAATTTGACGTGTGCATCGAGTGCCTTATGTGCGTTTGCGCAACGCGCCGACTATCCGACTAGATACGCGGATATCTTCCGTCCTGCAATGTTTTATAATTTTCCCGGCCTCGTTCTAAAAATTGTCTACAAAACACCTACGTGTTTCACAGACTAATAAATTTCCACATACGAATGAAATATGCGCTAATGATATTTACGAAAATGTAAAAGAATGTGAGATTTTTCCGACTCATGACATACTTATGTGAATTGACTCTGTGACTCAATGGTTAAACCTAGCATCTGCGTTCATATTCCATGGAAGCAATACCTAGTGTAGGCCGTTTACAGACAGAAGTCTGGACAACTTACAACGTATTTGCAAATCAAATGAATCAGTGAAACATATACATAAATTTGCCTACCCCATGTCAGATATAGAGGTAATATCTTTTATTCCAAATTCGAGTTTGCAAATGAATATACTAAGACGGACAATAATATAAGACCAAAAAATTTTTATTTTAAATATCTTTTCGGACAGACGTCAATTATAATTATAGTGTATTTATTTTTATGTGTACATAAGAAATATTGTAAATAATTTTATTGTATTATCCATTTATACTAATATTATAAAGGTGAAGAATTTGTTTGTATGGTTCATTTTTTTTTTGTTAGTGCTTTACACAAATGCTGTACACATGTATCGTGGATGGATCTAAAAAAATGTCCGCGACAGTAATATGTTTATCTCTCACACGAACTCACAAAACAACGTTTGTTAGATCAGCTAGTATTTAATAAAAGTGTAGACCGTATTATTATATTTATAAAGTCAGTAACACTACTAGCTCTCTGCTCTATTTTACGGCTATGACAAAATCACGACAATTAAGTGAGTTGTTAAGTTAACATTGTTTAAAGGCAACAATAAAACAGCTATCATTAAAATGATTATTACAAAAATAGATTTCATAAGTCGACCTTCCGCGGTTTGCCTAGTGGTACAGCCTCGTTATGTGTACCCGAAACCTAATGTTTAGGTCACTGCCGACACGTCACTTTAAGTCAAGTACAGTTGGGTAATATTGAAGGATTCTCACAGTGCATTATGAATGGAGATAGGATAAGTGGAATAGCACTGCTGTGTCATTTTCAAAGGAGATGAATGGTTGAAGTACATAAAGTACATAAATAAGTAAAGTTAGGACAGGCGAAATGCCCAGAGTTTGTTTGTTTATTTGAACGCGCTAATCTTTGGAACTGCTGGTTCAAGTTGAAGAATTATGTTTGTTTGTTTGCGCAATTAACTTAGGCGAAAATGAACTTAACTACATTTGTGTAAAAAATCAATTTTCGATCCATTATGTTGTAACACTACTTAACAATTTTCGATCTGTACTATTAGTGTTATAACTCAAGTCTTACAGTTGCAGTAGGCTACTCTTCTCGAACGAACCGATAGAACCAAAAAGTGTTCACCCCATGCCCCACCGGGGAAAAGGGATTCCATTTTATTATATCTCGAAATACGTATCAGTTAAACAATCTATGTTATCTTAGTCTTTGATATAAAGACGGCGTTTACTTTAAAAATATCCGCAAACTAATGTAACATCTTGATATAGTGAATACTATAATTAAAACACACAACACAGTAACATAATATCACCTCCTACCTTGTACATACATTGTCATTAATGTAGGTAAAGACAAGTCTACTTTTCGTTCAACACTGTTACTCGCAAAAATTTGTAGACATCAATATATTAATAATGCTTTGACAACTTAATTCCACAAACTAACTGACTTGGGAAAAATTAAATAATTTATAAGAAATCCATCTGTAATTTTGTGTAGATTAATATTTTACAGAGATAATTTGGCAATGTTTTTATATTCGTCTTATAAAAACTAATTATATTGACTGTATTTTATTTATCAGCTGTGTGCTTCAACTCAACTTCGCAACCATGTTATTCTTAATGTTATTAATTATTTCTTATTAATAATTCAATGAAACTCAGCATATTAGTGTGAAGCAGTAAGGGGACACGTGTGTCCGATACAGCTTCAGTAATAGACCAGATTGCCGATCTTATCTCGAATTAATTACGTATTCTGGGCCTAGAACTTAGGTCATCTCACGCTTAACGGCGTTTATTCTATAAACCAAAGAAGGGGGTAAATCTCAGTTACGAAAATATCTGTATAGATCTAATCTGTGGCATTTGGAAAGAGATGTCTACATTTTTTGTCCTGAATTGTTTTGCCGAATTATTAATGAAAATCAAAACAGTACAACTGTTTTCAGTAAGTGTTATATAATAATTAAGTAACATCAGTTATGCAGACGTAATAACTATGTGTTATGACATAGTATTACCTCTTGACAACGAAGTCAGAACATTTTTGATATACTAAACATTTCCAAACCGATTTCCGTCCTTGAAGTTTTCGATTGACTAACTGATCTAGTATAAACAATAATTATCATCGAGTCGTGTACATTTTGCATGATGTCACCAAATCAGTCGTATATAATAATAGATTCGTCGACAAACGATTAAAGAAGACCGAGTCCCACCTCTGGGAAAGTTTAAGAAGTTTAGTACTGGGTGGTACTCACTACTTCTTCAATAGGGCATCGCCCGATGGTGGTTGATAAATTCATATTCTTCTTCTTCCGTTAGGACGCAGTCTTCGAAACACCACAAGCCCGCTATGGCAAGTAAGACGGTGTAGACCATGTAGTAGACTAGATAGATGAAAATAGACGCCAACATGTCTAATAGAAGTGAACCTGAAACAAAAGAGATATACTAGTAATAATCGTTTTTAAACGCATAAACAGTATTTTAGGGCTAAGTAAATGACATGGGTGGAACTTGAACCAAATCATAATTTTATTTCAAACAGAGATATTTAAGTATTTACTTTAGTTTACGCGAGTAGCACGCATTTACATAACACTTACACTTTACTGTTTACAGCGCGAAATGAGTATTTTTTTTATCATTTCGGAATCGGATGCTTTGCAGCATAGTAGTTACGTTACGTTTTTAAAACTAGTTGTGCCCGCGACTTTGTCGGCGTAGAATAGTTATTTTGGGTATGTAAACTTGCTTCTACAAACCTTCTACTTATAGTCGTTCGCGTCCCGTTCTTGGAAGTTAACATAAAAGATAAAAATGTACCGACGCGGACACTTTTAGATCATTTAAAGAGGAATAATTCTTTAATAGACATTTTTTTGGTTATCATGAATCGATTTATTATTATGTTTTGTGCAATAAAGAATAAATTAATAAATAGGTTTCGTGGCGCACGCAGCGGAGCAAAACTAGTTTCGCATTTTAACAGTGTAAAGTGTTTTATTTCAATGTGTATTACTTGCCATGACTATAGACAATACTTATTTAATTGTTTTATTTAAACAAAGATATTTCTTTGTTTTATTTTTATAACCATAAATACATGACACATAAAAAAATGTATTATAATTTTTATTGAAAATGAAGATTAATGATTCCTAATCGAAATAAACATTTATGTAATCTATTTTACACATATATTAAAATTTGTTAGGTTGTTTAGTTAAATTACATTCGTTATGTTTAAGAATAGGATTTATAATTTTGTTAGGCTCATATACTACAACCTCAAACCACCAAACCAACCCTTTTCTACCAAAATCTATAAATAATTTGGCAATGTATTTTGCCATCTAGTATTTAGTAAATCTATACTAATATATAAAGCTTAAAAGTTTGTTTGTTTGTTTGTATGTTTGAAAGCGCTAATCTCAGGTTATACTGGGTCGAATTGCTCTAACCAACACTAAAATCTTTTTGTGTTGGTTAGAGCATTTATCGAGGAAGGCTATAACACATTGCGATGCGACTAATAGGAGCGAAGAAACAGCGAGAAATGGGAAAATTATTGTAATAATTTTCCCATTCAAACGGTTCAAGATACCCAAAAAAACTTTATGAAAGAATTATTTCTTTTTAAATTATCTAAAAAAATGTCCGCAACACTCTATGTCTATCTTTCAAGATTAACTTTCAAGAACGACGGGACGCACCTGACGTCGTGAGTAACAGCATAAACTCATAAAGATAAGGTGGTTTACAAAAAATAGATGTCCAAAATAACTATTCTACGCGGACGAAGTCGTTGTCACAGCTATTAAGAGATACAATGTTTTGTAAAAACACTATTTTCAGAATATAATTTTAATAACACCACTTCAAGAGGTAAGGTTAAAGGACCACCTTTGTTCGCTTATTTTGATCTTAATATTTTTCCTTCTATTACACGTGTTTTCGCGAATCTACAATTTATTAATGTTATTTATGTTTTATGCAGATGTCAGAAATAATCTAATCCTGTAACATCGGGTTAAGACTCTATTAACTTTGGCTCAGAAGTGCATGGACTTAAAACACGATCGGCATCTCCATGTGTGGGCGGTAGTCCAACTACCAATGGTTCGGACGAAGTTTCGGTATATCTACCTCCATTCAATGTTCGAACAAGGCTAATGATAAGAAAAAGTTGAAAATAGTCTACAAAAATGTCATATCTAGTGGGAAATTAGCTACTGAAAATTTTGCGTAAAAATTTATTAAATATTTCTCTAAAAAGAATGTCTGACTTTTAGTAAAATAGGATAGCGGACCGAGTTTTATTAATATGGTGAATATTGTAAAGTGACCCTTTGACCTAACGTCGGTGTGACAGTAAGATACAACATGAATTGTTTGCGCAAATCTGCACAATAACACGTCACTCGTGCAAAAAGTAGCTTTTGTATCAAACAACTTCATAATTTACAATTAGTATTATTCATACTGTCTCAAAGTTGTTTTTGAGTAGTTTTTTCATTCATCGTAGTAGGGACTTCCCGTAAGATAAATTACAAATAGAATTATATTTTTTAACCTCTGACCGCCGCTGTAGCTAAATGATTAATGTTGCCTAGAATTGCGTTAGGCGAACCCAGATCCTGGGTTCGAATACCTTGGTTGACAATAGTTTGTTTCGGTCGGGCAGGGCACATACGTTTTATAGTTATTATACTTCCGTGCTCAGCCCGATCTTGCTTACTTACTTGCCTGTTAAAGAGTCGATCAGTCAATGGACACAGAAATGTGTTCGCCCCACGCGCCTCGGGGGAAACGAAATTTCACTATTATATTTTTCAAAGTCTAAATATATATTTGCCATAGGTTTATTTCTTTGTGAGCATTATCGTTTCACTACAACCACTGCTGGATATATATGTCCTCTTTCATAGGAGATAGAAGAGAATGTGGACACAACACGCGAATTAAAAAAACAACGCGACTTAAAAAAAACTCTCGTGTAAATGGAGCGATAAGTCAATACCTTTTATAAGGACTTACAATCCACGTCCTATTAAAATAAAGTCAAATTATTAACTTAACTTTGTAATCCTTTTTAGACAACATCGCATATTTATAATGGATCCCGAATCACGCAGACTGATAAAAATACAAATATGTGTATCCCTTGTTCCATAATATTCTACCTCCATTATACAATTCGATACGAGTATAGTTCGTACATCAGAAAATTATGTGCGTCAAGATCGTGCAACATCAAATGTCATAGGGCTTAGGGATTTGTCAATAGGTCACTACATATACACTAGACACTACACTAGACAAATTTACACATACCATACGGAAATAAATAAAACATCTTGGACAATTTTAACTATATTAGCTAACTAGCTGTGTCAGTTTTGGTCATCCGAATTAGTGTTTACAAACCTTCTTGTTATCATTACTGATTTAAGCAAATATCATTAGGTACTACCCACGACGTCGGATGCGTCCCGTCGTTCTTGCAAGTTAATCAAAGGATAGGTATATAGTGTGCCGGATATTTTTTTGGATCATTTAAAAATGAATCATTGTTTTATACATAATATTGTTTGGGTATCTTTAATCCGTTGTCTTAGCGAACACATCGGAAACCCACAGACATGGATCATTTTCCCCGTTTCTTTTTTGACATTTCCTGCTGTTTCTTCGCTCTCATTACATCACAGGGCGATGTTACAGGCAACTCAAATATATTTTTTCTATTTGAATTAGTAGTTCCTTAGCGCGTTCAAAGAAACAAACTCTTCATCTTTATATATTATGTTTAGATTTATAACAGGAGGGTCTGAAGGTTTCCCTTAAAATTATATTTTTGTTAATATCTTCCCCGAGCTTAAACTACTGACTAATACATAACGCATAGTACAGTTCACATGACAATATTATAAATTAAAAATCTATAATAAATTGAAAAACATTCCGGCTCGGGCTGGACTCATATGTAAAACAAAAACTGCTTGAAAAAGGTTATTATCATGTTAATCAATATTTAAATAATAAAAATTCTTGGGGTGTGGAGGAACCCGCTCTTACAAGGAAAAATATGTAGTGCACTAAAAGTAAATCAAGAATGTAAAATGAAACTTGGCGATAAAAGGAGTGACGGCGAGTTTATTGCCAGTTCTCCTCGTTCGTTCTACGCCCTTGATTTGAGAACTGGTAGTAAATGTAAATTCTTTAATTATTTTGTGACGTTCATAAGTGTACATAGTTACCTACATGAATAAATGACTTTTGACTTTGACTTTGACTTGAACCGGCATCCACAGAGTTCCGTGCTGTTGTTCTAACCAAAGGAGCTATATTTAGAGCAACAGCACGGAACGCTGTGGTTGCCGGTTCAAGTCCTGCCCGAGTCGTGATTTTCAATTTATTATAGAGTTTTAATTTATAGAGTGCTAACATAGCGCAATAACATGTGAATAATATTAAAGTTTTCAAATAACAATATTGTTTTAAATGTCGTCAATTTTCTCTATGTCATACAACGCAATAAATCGATAAAATTCTTGGATTCGCATTGAGTTTTCACGAGCACCCATAGAACAAATCACTTTTAAGGGTTTGAAACGCAAAATCTATTATTAGTTTCATAATATATACGACCCGACGTTTCAGATGTATTGCAGCCACGGTCCTGTCGCTGTAGATATTTTTGTCTAAGTAATTAACAAGTATCAACTTAAAAAAACTTTAAAGTTAAATTTGGTTTTATTTTTTGTGCACTGAAAAACACAAATATTTAAATGTTTATATAATCATCGTATTTTAATAGTGTAGCCCTTTCATTTGATACCCATATTGAGGGGAAAAGGAAAAATATGTAATCCGCCATTTTGTATCGGCGGCCATCTTAGATTTATAATGTTTTTGGTTTCATTATATTGTATTGTCATCTAAATTAAATGTGTGTACTAACTTTGAGATCAATCTGATAACGGGAAGGTGCTTAAATTTCAATTTCTAATTTTGATCCAAATAAATAAATTCCGTACGGATCGAGCTAAATAAAACCGTTTAAAAACCGATGTTTCAGAAAGTGTATGGTTTATACTATAGTAATAGGTAGTTTTAAAATACTAACGTTCTTATTTTTACATACAAAAAGATACGTTTCGCAAAAACTTGTGTAAGTATTTCATCCAATACATTACATTACTAATTGTGTATTATTTTCAATATAATGTTTATGAGTTCATAACATGCAAGATGATTACTTCAGAATAGCTCATGAACTGAAGTTGGTCGCAGCAATCTCGCTCCTGCAAACGGTAAAAACTTGGTGGGTGTTTATAAAAAATAATTGAATGACAAGTTTTTTTTACTGTTCGATTTTATTTACTGCTTGATCAGACATTATCAATAAATCTAAAACGAATCAATAATA